GCGCGCGCGCGCGTGTGTGTGTGTATTCGTGGTGGAACACCAAACCAATGTGCCAGGATCTGGACAATAAAGATGTATCTTATCTTATCTTATCTTATCTAATCTTATGGCGTTCATATGACCTTAAGCAGTTGCGAGTGCCGTAAAACCTCTACTAAAACAAAAGCCGAGTTGGAGTTGGACTCAGTGAGTCTTTATTTTTCAGATAAATGGTGATGCTCTACGCCCCAGCCCATCAACACAATTTATATTATTCAAGAGTCAGGCTTCGACCCGCCTGCCAGCACCGACCCGGACTGTGAAGGATACAACGTCCGAGCTTCGTTCGACTAAAAGTCGTTCCTCTTGGGAATCGAACGCAGGTCTTCTGAGTGCGTCAGCGGAGTGCCTAACCGTTACACCACTGAAGTAGGTTAACCCTATCTGTACCCTCTGGGGTCATTTTGTACCCCCGGGGCTGTATTCTTCGCATTTTAGAATACTTCTAGTACGCAGAACTCTTTGAAACTTTCAGTATTTCTCAAAAAATCATTTTGACAGACTGCTAAGCAAAGCGTACGGGCGCGCGCTCATAATGACCTTATGCAGTTGCGAGCGCCGTAAAATCCAATGCTAAACTAAAAAGAGTACGGATCGGATTAACAAGTAAATTTCCTCTTTGGAAGTGGTGGCACAGAGTTCCCTACGTCGTATGGATGGATACGATAGTAAAACACGACGTACGGATAGGGTTAAACAGCTCGATTGTCGAAGTAAATTGATTTGCAGGTATAGATTCTAGACTGATATCAAAGGTACTGTATTACGTTCATGATAGTCTACAGTCTACAGTATAGAGTGAAATCTTGCACACGAAGGAGGTACCTCTTGTACGTAGTGTGCCTTGGATACAGCTCACCAGGTTTTTGTGGGTTTTATTTTTTCCCCTTTGGTTTCCCGATTTTTCAACACTTGTGTCTGTGTGTGTGTGCGTGTGTGTGTGCGTGTGTGTGTGTGTGTGTGTG